GCCTTTCCAATAAAAATAAATAAACCTTTTTTAAAAAATAAAAAATAAAGGAGCACATCAGACATGTAGGGGAGGGAGGGGTGAATGTTCAATTTCACTGATGCGCCCAGCGTGGTGGCCTAGCAGCTAAAGTCCTCGCCCTGAAAGCACCAGGATCCCATATGGGCCCCACTTTCCATCCAGCTCCCTCCTTGTGGCCTGGGAAAGCAGTTGAGGACGGCCCAAAGCCTTGGGATCCTCCACCCACATGGGAGACCTGGAAGAGGCTCCAGGCTCCTGGGTTTAGATAGGCTCAGCTCCAGCTGTTACAGCCATTTGGGGAGTGAATCATTGGAAGAAGGTCATCCTCTCTGTCTCTCCTCCCCTCTGTATATCTGACTTTATGATAAAAATAAAATCCTTTGAAAAAAAAATCAATGATGCACCTATTGACCTAGACATAAACTGAGTGCAAAGGACAGATGTTGAACCATATAACTGTGCCTCATGTAAATCAATACTATATTAGTATTTCAATTCACTTTCAGAGCATACTATTATCTAGCATCTACTGATTTTGTAAATGCCTGTCAGCACCTTAAAAGAGTTTTGGGTTTTAAATGATCATGATAACCAAAAGACATTGTTTCACATTTGTAAGTACACTAACAGAAGGTGAAATTCATCTCATGAACCAAGCCTACTCATACATGAAATGGACCACAAAAAAACATACCCTCAAAAAATGAATGGATGGCCTGCTACAGGCCATCCAGCAGCATCTCAAAAGCATCCTACACTGAGCCCCTAAGTTGGGGTGTATTGCATGACCTCTTCCTGTTGCCTGTTTCCCAGGAGCGGGCATTTTTAATCATTTTTGTTTATTTTGAAAAGCACACCAACGAAGACACAGATCTTCCATCCACAGGTTCCTTCCCCAAATGCTCACAATAGCAGGAGTCGTGCCAGGCTGAAGAGCCTCCAAATCCATGCTAGTTCCCCACACCGGTGGCAGGGACCCAAGCACTTCTGCCATCAGCTGCCTCCCAGGGTGCAGATTCTCAGGCAGCAGGATCAGAGGCTTGGCAAGACATGAATCCCAGAACCCTGATGTGGAATACAGGGACCCCAAGTGGCAACGCTTTGCCACTATCCCCAACACCTGCCAGAACATACCTCTTGGAAAGATAACAATCACAGCAAGCTGGGCAACAACCTGCCCTATCCTTAGCCCCAAGAAAGAGAAAAACAAAATTCCAACATACTTTTGGTCTAACAACCCGTCTTAAAGATAAGAACACAAATAGTAGGTGTGGGAAACTCAGGTTTTTTATATTCCATTTACCTGATAACCACTCTTTGACTAACAGGGGTATTTGCAGAATAATGCAGTAAGAAAACTATTTTCAAGTTGTTGCTAGTAACCACTCCTGAATGAAAATCCAAGACAAGGTGTTTGCCAAATCATTGACTTGACATAAACTTTTTTAAAGACACAAATCCCTAATGACTGTAGGTCAATACTGGGAACATTTCAATTCTATATCATATCTCCTTTTGTTTAGCCTAATAACATTTCCATCAATTTGAATTTTTTTCACAGGCACACAGCCCAATCATGTACAAAAAATACCAATATTTCTAACATTTGGTGAAAATCTTCTATAAAAAGCCATTTGAGATCTGGGAATAATCTGAAATTCTCTAACATTGTTTTTAGTTGTATTTTTAGTAAAAAAAATTTTAGTATATTCTCTTTGATATTTATTTTTTAAATTTTTAGTTTGAGATTTTTATTGTTTATTTTTTATTTTAAAGTTAAAATATTCTATTTTTATTTTAAAGATTTTATTATATTCTCTTTGATACTTATTTTTGATTATTTGAAAGATAGGAAGAAAAATGACTAAGTAAGAGAGAAGCCATTGCCTCAAATGTCTGCTGCAGCCAGGACTGGGTCTGGTCAAAGGCAGAAGCACAGAATTCAATTTAGATTTCCCACATGGGCAGCAAGGAACCAGGTACCTGGCCCATTTCCTGTGCGTGTCCGGGTACACATTATGGGAAGCTGGGGTTGGAAGCATAGATGAGAATCCATGCAAACCAGTAAGGGATGCGGGCATCATAACAGCTGTACCAAATGCCCAAACCTACTTCATTTTATAATTAAAAAACATAAATACCAACCTCTCCACCACTAAAATTTTTTAAAGTTTGCTTTTTCTGTGACTGGACACATTTTGAGTCCAAAAATTCATGAAATGATCTCCTTGGGTTCAAAGCTACTTGTTAAAGACCATGAAAATCAGGATGTTAAAACACAATTCTCATGAATAAATGTGTGTTGGGATGTTGGTGCAACTGCTTATTTTTGTCTGTCATGGGTTCTCATTGGTTAACAAATGACAGCATTAGGGACATGAAAGAATAAGATGGGGCTGCTGTGGTTTGGATCTTTGGATGATGAATGGTGCCCAAAGACTCCTGTCCTTCGTGGTTCTGAAAAGCAGAGGTGCTGCAGCACCATCTACCATGATGGCTGCTGGCTGACGTGTCACATGTGCAGCACGTAACTGTAGGCCCTCAAGAAATGTGATGTCACATCACAATCATTTAGACAGTAGTCCAAGGAGTATCTGTATAATACTGGAAATATCACTACTAAAATTGAAAAGCAAACTTCAACACCTAGTTCATTTGTAAGACATTGATTATAAGACTAGCAAGAAATAGCAGTCCAAAGGGGATTATAATTGGTTACACATTTATGAGGGCTACATTTTATTATATGCAATGATACCTCAATAATCTGTTTAAAAGATTAAGCTTGCAATATGTGAACACAACCATGCCCTGTAGCTATAAAATACTACATTTTCCAATACTGAATGATTTTTCCAAGGTCATATAAGCCAGGGCAGATTACCAGCTATGAATTTACCATTACTTTCAAACTATTAAGAAGCCTTTTGAGATATGATTGTGAATTTAATTGCAATTAAAGATGCAAACATCTATTCACTGATAGTCCATAATTAGTTTTTTCTCCATCCTGTTTACAGTCTCTCGCTGTAGAATAGAAGGTGGAAGTGAATACAATGAAGTGAAACTACAGCAGTTGTAGATTTGTGAAAAACAGGTTCTAAAACAGGGTGTAAAAATGTGTTTTTGTAGAAAAGTGTTTGAGGTGTACTCGATTCTTAACCATTACTTAACTCCAAGAGGTGACTTGTGAATTCTTTGCATTTTTTCATCTTTTGTTAGCCAATTTTTAAAAATATGAATAGTAATATACATGTAATATAATGTAGCAATGATTTTATTACTTTACACATATTTTTTGAAAGGCAGAGACCCCCCCCCCCCCATTTACTTCTTCATTCCTCAAATGCCAGCAACAGCTCTTGAACCAAGCCAAGACGAGGACCTAACCCAGGCGGCCGATGTGGGTGGCAGGTACCAAGCGACTTGAACTATCATCTGATTGCTGGGGCGCACATCAGCAGGAAGCTAGAACCTAGAGCAGAGCTGGGATTTGAACCTAGGAACCATGACATGGAAGATGAGCATTCCAAGCAGCATCTTAATCACTGTGCTAAACTCCTGCTCACCATTATTTTTTTTAATTAAATTAAAATACTGTGCTGGGAATGGTTGATGCTCCCAACAAGTTGAAATTGGCTCTTTAACGACAAATTTCTAGTTTCTCTTGAAAAATCAGAGGGCCTGACAGTTCCAGGCTCCAAAAGGCGGCTCAGCCAGCACTACAGCTTGCAGCTCCTGCCGACGCCCTTTAGCCTGCCCTTTTCCAAAATGCAAGCATTTGCTTCCCACCTGTGGACCCAGCAGCTCATGCTGTAAGCTGAAACCCTTCTGTAGGCACTGAAAAGTACACCTGAAGATCAGCTGGTCCCAATTTTACCTAACTTTGCAAAAGTTTACATCCTTAGTGCTGGAGCGATATGAAAGGACTTACAACGCATGGGATATATCCAGTTAGAATTCTGAGAGACTCCTTTTCACTCTTTTTATTTGTAGATTTTCTATTTCTTAGCAGAGGTACACATCATTTCTCATTAAAGAAACAGTTTAACAAAGCAAAGCAAAGTTCTCTGGTTAGACCTTCCTGAGTCCTTGGTGTCTAAGTACAATTCCTTCATTAATGGGAGCCCCTGGCAGAACACACACCCACATTGAGCAATGTGTGCAGAATGTATGGTAAAGCACTTTGATTCCCTTGAGTTTTATCATGGAACTTTAAATTCAACAATTTTACCTCATGCATTTTAGTCCGTAAGCTTATCCATCTGTAAAAATGCGTAAAGTAGAAATGACTAGCTTTTTTGAATTAAAGACATTTCAACAAAAAAAGTAGCTGTAAAAAGAAAATTCATTTCAGAATACACCCTACATACCTAAAATGACAGATTGGACCATCATCAACAAATGCTAAAGAGATTGGTGTTTTCACCATATTTGAGCACATGTGTCTACTCAAAAAGTTCCAACTCACGAGGAGAAAAATTTAATAAATTAAAAATATTGTTTCATATAAACACAAAACAAAGTATGTGAGAGAAACCGTTGAAACCTTCACACTCCTGAACCTGGGAATTCTGAGTCCTGGAAATGCAGCAGAAACTTAACTCCTACAACATCTGTGGCTTGGCAATAGTGTTGTATCGCTTTCATACGGAAGAAATCAGTAAGAATAGCTTGAAATAATTTTTGTTCTTCATGGGAAAAAATGTTGTAAATTACAAATATTTTTCCATTCATTTAGGCAGCAAAGAAAACTATGAAGACTTTTAGGGCATTGCAAATATGTTGGCTTTTCAGCAATCAATGGAACTATAGATGTTAAAAAAAAAAAGCATACCGATTGTCAATTTGGAATATAAAGATGTCACTGCCATAAGCAAGTGATGTATTAATATAACAAATCATTTGCATACTACATACAACTTTATTCCACAAGTCAATTATTATTAAACTTGGAGAAAAGATAACCATGGCCTTACCTAAAGACTGGTAGAGTTCAGTCATTTTGGGATGGTCCCAGCAAGTGGTCTGGGTCTCATGGCTGAAACACAAAATGTAAAAGACACTTCAGAATTTGCAATGTGAAGCAGCGACAAGGACGCGCAGCAGCCACAGCGTTTGCTCTGGACCTTTTCGGCACCTGTTCCCGGTGAGCTGGCCACAGGATCCCAACAGCACAGAGGCCCTTGTCGCTGCTTTCAAAGGGAAAAGCAGGTTGAGCATTATCAGGCTCCAGAATTTGTTTCTTTCTTTTGGTATTCACAAATCCACCACACTTATGCTATAATAAACTGACCTTGCTATGCAATCAATAGTCGAAGATCAGGATTTATATCCCTGCCTGGTGTGGAAAAGGCACAAATACCTGATGTGGTATTTGTCGTTCAACTCTGTGGAAGAGACACTGGACATTCGTCAGTAAAAATAAATCACTTCTCATTTGTTTTCTCTGTCCTTGACACTTTACTGCTTCTCCACATGCAGATCTCAGCTCTGACAGTTACATTTCATTTCAGCTTATACAGCCTCGGACTAACACACTCTCCCCTCCTCCTTCCCCTTACTCTCAGAATGTCTTTTAAACTCAGTACGCATCTACCACTACACCTCTTTCTGTATTGACTTGGGCCTGATAAAACAGTCACAGTTCTCTCCACTTCTTGAAATGTGGTTGCCTGCTACTGCCTGCTATCAGGTCCAAAAAAAAAAAAAAAAAAAAAGAACAAAACACCTTTGTTCCTCCTTCAGTTCCTTCAGTTACATGAATAAGCCTGGAAAGATAAGTACATATACTTTTCCTTACTTTGGCCTATCTACATAAATCACCACAGCATCGTATTTCCAGTTTTCAGGGATTACATTAAGGGCCTTGATAAAGTAAAAAATTAGCATTGAGTCCTATTTTGGTACTCTTATGGGTATCCAATTCATATTTTTTTTTAGAAGGGAGGAGGAAAAGAGGAGATTCAGCTTAAACCTGGGCACTTGAAGGGGACAGAGGTCTCACACAGTGACAGTCAGGAAAGCAGACAAGGTCGATGGCCTTTGCATAGGATGGGAAGTTTAGGGCTTTGGACCCTACCAGCTGGGAAATCTGGGGCAAGCCGGTCCACCCAGTGGAGCTAAAGAATTAAGTTACATAGGGAAGTGACCAGCACCTGCTAGTGCTCCTTATGTGATCATTTCTGTTACTGTGTGACCCCCTCCACCCCAAACACTGTCCATTAAAAGCAAACCTTTTGTTAGTTGATTAAACTCTAGACGTACATCTGACTAATGGAATTCAGTCAAGCCTTGGACAGACGAACACTTAACGTGCATTACCGCCTCAGGAAAAAAAAAATGAAAAAGAAACACTTGACGGGGTTTGATCAATATAACATAAGCATAATCTGACCAAGACATGTGGAAATGACCCAAACTGTGCGAGCTCAATGATCACCCCTGTGACAGTGACCATTTGGTGCTTGAACAGTGAAGGCTACTACAAGCAACTTGCAAGAAACTGTTCACTTGTGAAGGGCTGCTTCACTTGCCTCCAAATATGTTCATTTCTGATTTTCTTCTCTGCAGAAACAATTGGCATTTGAGCAGTGCAAGACAGGTGTCTCATTAAGGGAATGGACCCAAGCGATAGCCAAAATGTTTAAGGGGGTTTGAGGAAACCCCAAGGCCAGGCTGGTTTATCATCTGGAGAAGAGGTAGGCAAGACTGGTACTTTATATGCACAGCACAAGGAGGCTGCAGCTTGCAGCTTCATGGAAAAAGTGTTGCTTGTTCTCGGTGTTTTTTAGCTCACAGAGCCATCATGTACCAATTCTGGACTCAAGTGCCCAGCAGGGCAGTTTACCTTCCACTGTGACCACCCTGCATTCAGGGCCTCCCCTGTGCCCAAAAGGTATTCAGATGTGCACACGAGGGATAAAAGAGAGTGGACATGTGCCCACTGGGCACACCGTGGAATCCCAGGGCACCTGAGAGGACTGCCATAGCATCTCCAATAGGTCTGCAGAGCAATGCTTGGCCGAGCTGCTAAGCCCGACCCAGGAGAGAAAACTACTCTGAAGAGCCACCAAATGGGAGACACATGGAAATGAAATCTGCATCAAATGCAATTCTAAATGGAAACGCAAACAGAAAAGAAATGTGCATACAATTTTCAGAAGAATCCCACACGGAGAGAGAAAAACGGAAACTTCCCACTCCCAAAAAGGGGAAAAAAAAAAAAAAAAAAACTTCATGACAGTGGCTATCCGTTTATTTTTACCTTTTTAAGGAATTTATTTTGGAGGCTGACATCATGAAAAGGGCTGTAAAAATTATTTTTAAATCCATCAATCCTTAGTGAAATCGCAATTTCCTGTAGCGGAAGATGGAAGCCAACCTGCTCCCCCAATTCTGTGCCTCCTGGGTCTGGTATTAGTTTTTGCCAGGTACTATTCTCCTGGTTCTGGGGGACTTGAATAAATGAATCCCCCCACTCATTCCCAACCTCAACCTTCTGCTACCTTCCTCCCCTCCAACACACAAGCCTTTAATTTGCACACAACATGAAGTAACTAGAAAAGCAGATTTAATTTCACCTTTGCGGTCTTAGCTTCACTTCAATTGCAAACCAGTATTAAGTGAAACAAGTGAACGTAAGTGGAAAGAAGAATGAAGAGTGTGACTAATCCTCCAAATCAGAAAAATAATCTTTTAATCATTTAATGCTAAAAATGCTTGACAACATAGCTGAAAAACACTACAAATTTTTGGCAACTATATGATGAGCCAAAAACATCCCCTTCACTGTAGCGGGTATTTCGTACCTGTGATGAACCCAGAAGGTCTCCTGGGATATATTTAATTCCCCAGAATAGACAAGATGAATATGGAATGGATGAAACAGTAAGCATCAATTTGCATAACTCATATCTATATTCTCCTGTGCAGAACAAACCGATTTTTGCCTGTGATCAATCCACATTTTACAGCTGTGTTTTCTAGTTTGTGCCTGTCTCCTAAAACAGTAGAGAATTCTCAATAACTCCATGACAAACAGCTCACATTTTACTGGGGATGCAGGCAATATAGAAATATAAACTGTGCTGGGCACGTGGGGTTAGAAGGGTGGGTGGAACAGTTTTTGGTAATTGTCTCTTTTCTGCAGAGCACTTTCCACATTGGAAACACACTCCCTATGTGCCATGTCGTGCCAATGAGGAAATTCTAAAACCTGGTCACCCATTAATGGGCCCACCTTTGTTCGGCTTTCCCGAGAACAATGATGTTCAACAGAGAGATCACAAGTCCAGTATGTAAATTAACAGATCAGCTTCATCAACAATCTTTAACAAATGTTACTGATTTTGACACTGCTTGTGCCAAAGTCTGGCATCAGATATGCCTCAGAGCAATTTGCAAACTAAGATTCGTCCCCCCTCCCCCCACTTGTTTTTAACCTGTAAAAATCACAGTAAGCTCTCTTTTCCCTTGTTATTTGAGGCTGTGAATTAGGAACCTGATGCAAATAAAAACATAAAATCACTGGCTATGACAAAAGACCCCAGCAAAACCTACTTGTCAATAATAAAAAATTAAAACATTACTCTACTGAGCACAGGGTTGACCTAATTTCCTAGCACACGATTTAAATTTTCTCTCACCTTCTTTAGTTTCAAGTGGTGTGCAAGGTTATTGTAACAGCCTCAGAGCTGTGCCTGCTGTCAGGCTGCAAGAGTCAGACTTACTGGAATGGCTGTTTTAGTTTCTTAAAAACAAACATTAAGCACTTATACAAAGTAACAAATATCTACTACACTCGCTGGGGAAATGGCAGTTGCCTAATTAAAATAAGATTTCTTCTGCTACCAGTTATTTGGTACTGAAAATATTCTGAGTTGCCTTTAAAAAAAAATACATAATCTTCCCACTATTTCCCAGGGTGGAAGCCAATCACTCTGTGGCCATATAAAAAAAAAAAAAGGAGCGTTCTCTTGTGATTTGCAGGGGATTAGAGTTCAGCTTCATATATAATCTGGAGCCCATTGATCCACACACACAAATGATTTCCCTTTAATCTAGGGATCAGACTCTTTTTCTAGAGGAATCTGGTCATTTGCACGCTGATTTGTGGAACTCGGCTCTCACGGATGGAGTACTGGCAAGGTGGGGGTGAGAACACGTATTTCAAAGTCTCTGCTACTGTGGCTAGGGGCCAGGGAGGGGTGGGTGGCAACCTAAGCAGCAGAAATCCTCAGCCTAGCTCCCACTTCGTGTTCTGCGGGTGTTCAACATTTTCTCCTGTTCGGTTCGAGCCGGGGCAAAGATGATTGCCTTGGTTGGTGGCGGTTCCAGCTGTTACTTGTCTTACGTTATATTTGCTTTTCAAGGTTTAACTCACACCCACCCTCAACTTTGGCCAGGGCAATTTCACTTCAGGGTCGTGTCCAATCCAAGATCAAACAATGATGACTGAAACCAATTCCATGGTGATCAAGGGTCAGAGACCTTTACTATAACCCTGTTGTTTCATTCGCTCCTCTGCTTTACCTAAAGCAACCGTATCCTCCTAAGAGGGTCTTTGAAAACAGGAAATAAATATTTTTTAAAAAAAAGAAAAGAAAAGAAAGAGGAAAAGCTGTTGAGGAAGGTTAGGATAAGAAACTGAAGGACTAAAAAAAGCTTATTGGCCAAGGAAGAGGGCAGATTCCACTTAAAGACTGACTGCCCGCTTAACTCTGATGGACTGTGTTTCATGTTATTGAAGCATTTTAGAATTAATAATAGAATTCCCTTAGGCAACTAAATGGCAAGCTTCAAACTTTAAATCGAACTGATAAGCGTCTGCCCTTTTCATTGCCTGATCCAAGTGGGGATGCCAAACTTTGCTTAAACCCAAGCACAGACACCTGGAGACACGCGAGAAGGACACCCTAAAGACTGCACGCCCCAGCCCAGAGGGCAAAGGAAAAGGAAAAAAAAAATCTTACACAAACCAACAGCCGCTCGCCATCCTACCGCCCCCCCTCAAAAAAAGCCCTCGGTCCTTCCGTGGAT